TTGTGATCCCTGCCTCAGCCTTCCAGAGCACTGAGATTACAGGTATATGCTACATGCCCAGGTTCGTGTTGTTTAAGAAGCAAACTTCTATCAATAAAGACATTTAGAGGCACATACATCCATGAATAAATACACAAACTTGATTCTATGATTCTTTTATAAAATAAGTTGGACAAAAACTCAATCAAATTCAATGGTTAGGTTTGATGCTAACTCTCTTAGTTATTTTTCTCTCATTGATGGGACAAAACACCCAACACCCAGAATTAAGGAAAGGTTTACTTAGTTCACAGTGGGTGGAGTCTCCATCCATACTCAGCTGGCTCCAAGGCAGAGCAGCACAGGGCAGTGGAAAAGAGCAAAGGAAGGGGCAGCAGACCATTAGCTAGCCTCTTTCCCCTCCTTACATCTGTATGCAGATTATCTGCCCCAGGGCAGAGTGCTGATGGGACGCTCACCCATAATCCCAGCACTGGATTAAGAATTAATCACAAACTCTAGAAGCTGAGTGTGACTGCACAAGGCTTGGGGGTGGGGGGGAACCTGGATACCACCCATAACACTGATGCTACGGGGAAACTTGATGTGGTTCTCATTCAGTTCAGTTTGTGACCAGGATCATGGAGAGAATTGAGTTTGTACACGAAGAAACTGTAGTACATAGTGTGTTCAGGAGGATTATAAGTATTTGTTTTTATTTTTCTATAATGTGCTTTTGTAATTTAAAAGCACACTTCCTGCACTGAAGAAACACTGTAGACCGAAGAACAGTGATAGCAAAGAGGTCTACACTATCATATTTCACTTTGCTAGAACGCAGGGTTTGTAAACCCAAATTGAGAATATGAAGCAAGAAAGGCCAGCAGGGGCCAGATCACAATGCTTATTTAAACAAAACACCAACAAATTGAAGCAATCATATGCAACTAAGGTATTTTATTTTATTTATTTATTGTTATTTTCATTTATTTATTTTTGCTGAACCGGGGATTGAACTCAGGCCCTTGCGCTTGCCAGGGAAGCACTTATTCCACTGAGCCATCTCCCTGGCCCCTGACTAAAGTATTTTAAGCAAGAAAATGACACTTAGATTTGCAATTTAATCTTTTTTTTTCTTTTTTTGGTATTTTAGGGAAGGGTCTACAGGGTGCTCAGGGTCTCACTACTAGGTCTGACTTAGAGTGATCCGCCTGTTTACAGCCTCCCAAGAGCTGGGATTACAGGTGTGCACCACCACGCCCGGTCTCAATTGCCCTGACATGGCAGGCCTGGAGATTGAACCCCCAGCCCCTGAACCTGCTTACAGACACTTTAATCTGCTGAGCTATTTGGCCAGCCCTAGATTTGCAATTTAATCTTTAAAATTTATACAAAAAATCAATCTAAGAAAAATACTTGAATTTCCAAGAATAGGAACAGTCTGCGATAACTGATAAAATATTTAACTGGAGGTGGTGGAAATGAAGAGGAAAATTAATTAGACAGATACTTAAGAATTGTATTTTGTCAGGCTGGGGATATAGCTCAGTCACACAGTACCTGCCTGGCAAACACAAGGTCATGAGTTTAGATTCTCGGCACCAAAAAAAAAAAAAAAAAAATTGTCGAATCACTGGCCCTTGTTGGAACATGAAACTATTATCATTCAAGCCATAGTTCTACACTTTGGCCCTGGCAGGTGCAGGGGCCTGAGTTCAATCCCCAGTTCCCCCCCCCCCCCAAAAAAAAAAAAAAAAAAAAAAGAATTTGTCGATACAAAGCAGAACACATGGGGAAGATCTGCAGTGATTCCAAGTTCATGTTGTTTCTTTTTGGAGACATATTTTGCAATGTATTTTAGGCTGGGCTTGGACTCACTACATAGCTAAGGTATGGTGACCTTTTTGCCTGGGCCTCTCAAGGGTTGGGATTAGAGGTGTGCACCATGCCTGACTCCAAGTTTCCATAAAATGAGCAACCGGAAAAATTCATTTTCATTGAGATAAACAATGAGGAGGAAAAAAGTAAAGCAACGGTAATTCAACTTGGTAGTCACTAAAAATTTTGAGGTGTTTCAAACATTACGCTAAATGATTAAGATATCTCAAATTTCACAATACACCAAAAAAGTGTTACAACACGTTCTAGAGAGGGAGAAAAAGTAGCTGAAAATACAAAATGTTTAGGAATTGGGTTTGAGGGAGAAAGATGGTGTCGAAACAGATAAGATTACCCAAGAAATATTAATAAACAGGTCAGAGAGAGAGGAACCAAGCCACAGAAAAATCTTGAGCCAAATCATAACAACTAAGAGATGTGGGCACATATTTCCTATTTACTATAATACCTACAAAGAAGCTACTCAAATAAGTGTACCTTAGGAAGATCTCTCTACTTTGGTGCGTTCCTTTCGGAACATGGACTGAACCTTTTTCAAGCAGAAGCAACTAAATGTTTACCCTAGACAGCTGACCAAGTTAAGAGTGTCAAAAGGTCTGGAATTTCCCTGTGGAACGTTCATACCACAGAGGCATTTATTTCTACTATAACTCAGCGCTGTAACAAAGCTCTTTCAAGGTTATTCAGGTTAAAATCAGCTAAGCACTTTGCGCACCGGATCTGTTAACCCATTTCTTCTATGCACAACTCTGCCATGTCACTCAGCCTCGACGGCTCCTAAAGTCTCTCCTAAAACTGAACGGAGAGAGGGCACAAGTACCAACCAGTCTGGTTTGACTATCTTTTTGCATCAACTCGCCTTGTCTCTCGACAACCGACTCTGGATTTGGAAGAGGAATAAGTGGAACGATCATTCTTCGTTGTTAATTCAGATAAGGCCTTTATGGCATTAACCATAACGTGAGGTTTCTAGGAGTCATGTAGTCTTTCCTGTCACCCTAAAATCGTCAGCTAAAAACATGCCCTGTTAGAAACCGTCAGAGAAGGCTGACTGCAGAAGTTGCTTCTGTCAAACCACCCGCGTCCTGTCTCTCTCCACCACGGAGAATCCATTCACTGTGTTCTACCTTCCTGCTGCACTCTCCAAATGTCCTGTGCTTCCGGGTAGCATTTGCTCCCAGCTCCGCAGAGATTTCGAACAGCACCCGAATTACCCCACATCCCGAAAGACCAATCGTAAACAGGCTGGAAAAGGGTGAACAGAGGCTTAAAACACGTATTTAAAGAAAGTCGCGAGAGACGAGAAGTCGCGGCGATCGATGCTGTCACTACCGGCCAAACTCACGGGTCGCTCGGCTGGAAGACGGGACCCGGCTACGGGCCACGCAGCTCGATCGCCAGCCGGCCCGGCGCCGCCGCACCGACTCACGCGCCACAAGGCCGCCCCGCACCAACCTGCACCCCGGCCGGCTCCGATCCGGCCGGCAATCCTGCGGCGGGAGCTTCCGCCCGCCCACCCGCCCACCCGCCCGCCTGCCTCTCGGCCTGACCGCTGCCCTCGCCTCAGCGACCGTCTCACTAACCGAGACGCCTGCGGGACACGGACGCCGAAGGTAGCTCCGGCTCGCCGCCCAGCTCGTGACGTAGCCGTCGCCGTCCGTTACGTAAATGCGTACGACACGTCCGCGCCTGCGCGCGACGGGGGGCGCCGCGCGCAGCCTCCGGGACGGCGGGAGACTTCCTCCTCCATCGCGCAGCTCTAGCCCGGGCAAGGTAGGGCGGCTGCGAAAATTATATAATCCCCGCCCCTGGGCCCGAAATGTCCTCGCTGGTGACGGATTTTTCCACTCGGGTTCAGTAGGGCTGACGTCACACGAACTGGTGATCCGGAAGTTAAAGGTGGCCATGTTCTGTTCGGCCATGTGGTCTGTGGCAAACGGAGAAATGCTGCCTTAGGTCGTCTGTGCAGGGGACTGGCGATGAGGGGATTGACACTTCCATGCAAATACAATTTCCGGCAAACCCTTATTTTCGTGGGCGTTTTGGGCGGCTCCCCACACTGCCGCTCTTTCTCCGCCAGCTCCGCCTTTGAATACGTCCGCGCGGCGGCAGCTTCGGGCGCGCGCCTGAGGGGCCCGCGGAGGAGGCCGGAGCCGTGAGGGCGGGCGCGGGCGGCACCTTCCGGGCCCGCCGCGCGGGCCCCGCCTGTCGCACGCGCTCGCCCCAGTGCGCATGTCCGGCGTGCGTTCCCCGCCCTCCGTCTGCAACTGGCCGACAGGCGGCGGCGGCGAAGGGGGCGGAGAGGGAGGAGCGCGGCGGGACGGGACGCGGCCCGGGTCGCGCGGGCTCCTGGCGGTGGGGTTCTCGGCGCGACGGCGGTGGTAGCGGCTGCCGCTGCGGCGCCAGCAGCAGGTTGGTGTGAGAGGGGTCCGAGGGCGGGACTCCTGGCCCGGGGTCGCCAGAGGCGGCCGGGGCCTAGCGAGGGCCGAGCGCCGCGGCCTCGCCTCAACAAAGAGGCCGCGGGGCGCGGGGCCCGGGAGGGCCGGGAGTGCGGGCTGGGCCCGGGGAGCTTTCGCGGCCGCGCCGCCCTCCCACGGCTCCCGCCTCTCCCCGCTCGGCGAGGCCCAGGCGGCGGCTTTTCGGAGGCGGCGCCTGCAGCGCTAGGAGAGGGATTTGCAGGGAGCCCGGCTCCGAGGCGGGCGCCTCGGGGAGGCTTCTGACCCCGGTGGGCAGCAGTTGGCGTGTGCTACCCCCAGACTGGGCTTCCTGCTAGCGAAAGTTGACAGAGCAGAGAACTGGAGAAGTCAGTCGGTGGTCTTTGTGATTGCATTATCTTAGACAAAGTTTTGCGGCCTGCTTCAGAACCTGTATCATGCGAGTAAACAATTACGTGGATTGCAAGCACGCGCACCAAAAACATAAGAAAAAACTCTCTCATTGGTCATGTTTGGGGGATTAGTAGCCTCATAAATTTAGCGTTTCCCTCTTGGCCTCCTTTGGGGCGTCGTTCACTTTCCTGTGGCTTCCTTCTGTAGTACTTTTTCCAAGTGATGTTTCTGTACCTGTTTTCTCTGTCAGATTCACGCGCAGGAGTTCCTTAAGGTTAGAAACTTTAATTGGAAGTTTTTAAGACTCAGCCCAGTTCTAAATGAACAGTAATTGTGTAGTGTTAGTCTTTCATCGGTGGAAGAAAAGTGTGTTTTCCGGTACCCAGAAGGGATAGCCTAATGATTAATATAGCCATGCATAACTTATTGGTGCCTACTGTGTCTGTCCCCCCCCCCCCAGCTATCAGTTATAAGCCTGTGAGGCCTGTTCTTATGAAACTTTATAGTAAGGGGAAAAAAGACAAACTTGTAGTAGAGGTTCTGTGAGAAAGACCTAACATCCCTTAGGAAAAACAGTCCATTAGGAAAGGACGAAAGGGGTGGGTATTGGAATTTTTAGTAGAGTGGTCAGAGAAATCTTGTATGACAAGCTGATATTTAAGGAGACTAGAAGGTGAAGGAGTCATTAAGTATCTGGGAGCGAGGGAACAGCAAGCGTAAAGGCCTTGAAAAGTACAAGGGTAGCCTGTTAGAAGACAGAAAAGTAATGTGCTTGGATCACTTGAGCAAAGAGGGGAGTAGTAGAAGATAAGGTCAAGGAAAAACAAGAAAGGAATGGGCAAAACAACCAGGGCCTTTTAGACCATTATTAAGATTTCATCTCGACTCTGCATAAGTTGGAAACTCTGAGCAGAAGGGTGATAAGATTTAACTTTCCTTGCAATAATGTAGCATAATTCATGGAGGAGAGTAGTTCTTCCAATTCATACTCTTATCACAAGGGTAGTTGTAATTAGTCCTTAGTTTCATTAAAGAGAAGTAGGGGATGCTTCTAAAATAACTATAACCCAGCAGTTAGTTATATTTGGTTTCAGAAAAATGTGATGAATTTTATTTTTTGTATAGATTCTCATTAAAGAATTAGTGTGAGATATTCTTAGAACAGATTAGTAGACAAAGGTGATACTGATCAACTGTGCTGTAACTTAGAATTGTCTTTCAGAAATTCAAGTCATAATTAGTTTAGTTTTTTAGTTCGCTATTTAAAAATTATATGTTCCCATTTTATTTTTCACTGTTACTCAAAACAAACTCCAGGCACTTTTGTGTTTTGTTTTGTTTTGTTTGAGACAGGGTCTTGCTGTGTAATTCAGGTTTGCCTTAAACTCACCATGTATCCCAGGCTGGCCTTAAACTCAGGGATCTTTCTGTTTTAGTAACCTCCCAAGTGGCAGACACATTTCATATTTATGTTTCACTTTTATTCTTACTTTCCCGCCTTTACTAGCTCTATCTTCCTCCCTAGAATATCTTTCTTTGTACATCTCTGTCCACCTTGAGGAACCTAGCCTTAACTTTAGCTCTTTTATGAAGCTTGCTCCCATTTGGCAACTCCTAGTGATTTCTGGTATCTTCAGTGACATGCAACACTTAGATACAGTTCTCTGAACTGAAAGAGAGCTGATAGTACCCACTTACCTATGCAGTTCATTTCTGGAGAAATAATCATGCTATGGATCAGCTACAATGTATTGAGCATTCACTGTATACCAGCCTTTTTAAAAAAGAAAAAAAAATTTTTTTCTGTATTTTAGGGAAGGGTCTACAGGTTATTCAGGGTCTCCCTATTAGTGATCCGCCTTATTGCAGCCTCCCAAGAGCTGGGATTACAGGCTAGGCCACCAAACCCAGTCAACCCAGTCTGGATAGCTGTGCCCCCGGGGGCAGGGCCAGCATGGCTGGCCTGGGGCTGGAACTCGGCCCCTGCACTTTAATCTGCTGAGCTATTTGCCTGGCCCATTAAACATATTTTTGTGTATGTGTTCAGTTTTTCATCCAAGCTCATGAAAATAGATTGTATCTTCAACATAGTGCAGAAGCTATATTTCTTGAGGGTTTTTTCTTTTGTTTTTGCATTTAGGGCAGGGTCTACAGAATCTCACTCTAGTGATCCTCCTCTTTACAGCCTCCCAAGTCCTGGGATCACAGACATAAGCCACCACGATAGGCCCTGGATTCCCCTGGGCCCCTGTGTCTGCCTAAGCAGGCATTTTTTTTTTAAATCCACTGAGCTATTTGGCTGGCTCTTCCTTGAGATTTATATTAATTTTAACACTTTTTTTTTTTTTTTTTTTTTTTGAGCTAGGTGCTCACTGTAGTTCAGGATGGCCTCAAATGCAGTGATCCTCCCGCCTCAGCCTCCCAAGTGCTGGGATTACACATGTACTACCATGTTTTGCTCAATTTTAAATCTTGTATTTTCTAGAGAAGATTTTCATGCTTCTGAATTATATAAAATAATGAAGTAAAACAAAAAATGAGAAAAAAAACTACTTTTGCAGAGTGGGCTCATGTAGGTTAGTATTGTAAAAGAAAGGAGTGTCACATCAAAGAGCTATGAGCATTGAGATGCTATGTGAGACTTTTCTCTAGGTTTTTCCATTTTATGAGGTATACCTTCCAAATACACATTTCAGTTTTTGTCACTCCCTTCAGTTCAGTGTAAGTTCAGTCAGGCTGGAATGAGACCTTCCTTTGTGCAGCCACTCCTTTACCATTCCTGTTGCCCAAAGTTTCTCTGCATAGACCTCAATTCCCCAAGAAAACCGAACACTCCAATAAATGCTCTTTCCTCTGCTTGAATTCTCTCCCTACTAAGACCCTCCTGTCTATCCATACTGACTCTTGAAGTGATTATGTAAATGATTTTCCAGAAAAGTAGTCTCCATCAGGATCTCTTACCTGGTCTAAAAATACCTGATACTATAACTCCCCTTGGTGCACTGGTAATAGTACTAGGGGTTGAACTCAGGGCTTTTGCACTGAATTACATCCCTTTATTTTTAGACAAGATCTCTTAGATTGGCAGGCAGGACAAGGATTTATGATCTTCTACCTTAGCTCCCAAGTACTAGGGTTGTAGGCATGTGCCACTACTCACCCATCTTAATTACAACTATTGGAACTTACAACTTCACTACATAGAGATACTTCTTGTACATTATGGAATATTTGCTCTTTGTAGATTCCAGTAAAACATATTTTTAAAAGATTGTGGTGGGGAGGTGGCACTGTAGTGGGATTTGAACTCAGCCTTTACACTGAGCTACCTGCTCAGCCCTTATTTATTTATTTATTTTTTCTATGAGGTCTCACCAAGTTCCCCAGGCAGGGCTCAAACTTACAATCCTTCTTTCTCAGCCTCACAGAGTTCTGGGATTGCAGGCATGTACCACCATGCCCGGCTAGGGGGAATATTTTTTTAAACAAAGTAAATTGAATTTTTGCAAATATGTTTTCATTTCCAGAGCAGAGACTACACCTCTAAGTTGGATAAAATACCAAAAATACATGTGCAAAAAGAATTTCTAATTCTTTAATTTTCATAATTTTATTTTAATGCTGCTACTACTGGCATTTAAACTCGGAATCTTCTCACTGAGCTACATTCTCAGCACCCTCACCCCTTTTTTTCCCCTTTATTTTGTAACAGGGCCACACTGAGTTGTCCAGGCTGGTCTTCAACTTGCAATCCTTCTGCTTCAACTTCCCAGATTACAGGGGTTGCAAACATGTGCTACCACATCCAGTTTATTTTTGTTTTTTCACATTAAAAATAACGATTTTAGAGCCAGCACATGGTGATGTGCACACACACACACACCCACTCTTATAATCCCAGCATTTGGGAGGGTGAGGCAAAAGGATTGCCAGGCCAGCCTGAACCATAGTGAGAGCCTATCTCCAAAAAAAAAAAATTTTTTTTTCCAAGGGTACAATTCAGTGGCATTGTGTATATGTCCACGTTGTCTTGCTACCCTTGCACCATCCAGCCTCAGGATTATTTTCAGATGAGAAAGCTGAAACTTAATAACACCCCATTTGCACCTAGCTCTCACCACCACTACAATCATCATTCTTTCTTTTAATTTGATTTTGTGAATGTGTAAGTGGAATCATATATGTTCTTTTGTGATTGGCTTATTTTATTTAACCTAATGTCAAGGTTCATCTGTTACAGCGAATATCAGAATTTTATATTTTCTTTTTCATATGGTACTGGATATCGAACTTAGCGCCTCATCCATGCTAGGCAAGTGCTGTACCACTGAACTGTACCACTGAACTGTGCCTCACAAACCCTAGAATATTTTTCTTCAGGCCACATTCTGTCTCTCTGTTAATGGACACTTAGGTTGTTATTTGCTTTTGGCTATTGTGAATAATGCTATGGACATGGTTAAACAGACTATTTATGTCCTTGGTTTATTAGGGATTGAACTCAGGACCTTGGACTTGCCAGGCAAGCACTTAGTCCACTGAGCTATCTCCCTGGCCCCTCTGGTTTGGATTCTTGTCGCTATA